CCTATGATATGTTACAGGGGCGTCCAGAGACAGTGATGAGGGTTCGGTTCGTACACGTTTCCTCAGAACTAAGAAGATTAAAGATGACAACACAAGTACTGAATCTTCATCGTGTAAGTTTTGAAGATTTCAGTTTTAATAATGGTATTTTTTGAGCTATGGGGGAGGGGTTGAGATAAGTGGCAAGTGGCGCCACTTTCCACAAGCAAGATTTATTCATTTAATTTGTGTTAGGTTCTTGCGCCGTACGAGGTTTATAGGTGGAACATTTATTAGTTCGGCCTAACGTTTCGACAAAATCGTCGTCTTCTGAGGCCTAAATGCGGTTCAAGGTTGAGACTTACGTTCTAATCCACCAAGCGCCTTATCCACTCTAGCGGTTCCGACATTCTGTCAGAACCTCCACCGAGAAACATAAGAAAATAATTTTCGAAACTCACCCAGGGTTCCACCGTTTCCCGCGGAAATCCCGCTACCACATAAAGACGCTACTCAGTAAAAAATAATGCACACCGGATTGTCTCCTGATTTATTCATTTAATTCGTTTCACCCAATCAAACGCTATGCTTCCGGTATCTTCAAAATCCGCCACAAATATGACATCAGAGTCATTAGTAACATGGACGAAAAGTTGTTTAGCGTAGAGATGTTTCAGCTCTAGCACACTGAAACGCTCGTCTCCAGGATAAATGAAACACATGAACCTGTTAAGATCGTTTTTTGTAACCGTTTCTCTCAAAGTGCGATAGTGGGGTAGGAGTGCGCTACAGGTCGAACAGCACTCAACTTCTGTCAAAAACGTCGTTGTGATTTGTTGAGAGGGTCATAGTTCGGTTCCGGCAGTTCCCAAAATCAAATGTAGAGGTCTGCTTTATCGCCGCAGCAGTAGTACTACTACGCGCCAGGGAGGTCGTCCAGGACGTGGAGCTCTTTAACACTTTGACGACAGCGCGGGACACATACGTCCCGCACTCTCACACGGAAGAGACTTGTTTTTCCTAAATTGTGCCTCCATTTTCATGCTTCAAGACTGGCCCTTCCTACTGTTGGATACGAAAAATAGTTCTCTCGTTACCACTAATGAAATTATTGGTAATGTAGTAACTGTTAATGCAAATTTGTAAAGTAAGGTGGGTAGGTTCGCGCACAAGGGCGTGTCGTCAACGTGTTAAACCGGTTCGGTGCATTTTATGGGGTTGCGTGAGTGGTACGCGGTTGTGGGCCGACTTCAAAAAAGGTGAGATGGTGCGGTTCAAGGTTCAGTTCCCCGCGGTGACAAGTTTTCGTATCTACGTTTATGTCTACAGGTTTGGGCCGAGGAGCCAGCGTTATGAGCTCACTTAATATTTGTGGTAAGGGTATAAAGTGAACCTCATCATTAGTTTTGAACTGATAAATTTCAAAATTGATGCCGCTATAGCTTCCAGCCTTGCAGTTTATTGCCGATATGCTAATCGGCTTATCACATAGAACCTGTGAGTGCTGATAAGCTTTAGTTAATATACCATGAAAAGCCGAGTCACGGTGCTCGGTAGCGTTTGTAAGTTGTAGCGTGCTTGACCGATAAGCGAGAGCGGGTTCGAGTCCCATCTAGGACGAAAATTTGGTTCATAACTCAGCGTTGGTGTGGAACTCATTATTGGTATTAACCGAAAACAAGCGGGAAAAGTTGTGGAACAAATTGATCTCCAAAGTGGCACTGATGGGACCAAAATGGCGCTGCTATCCAGTATGAATGTCATATTCATGTTTATGAGGATGAATTACTCTCATAGCCGAAGTGTCAGAAAAATAAGATTTTGACCTAATTGCGAATGAGGCAATAGGTAGGTTAGCAAGCAGCCCCATGTATACCGATGGCCAATTTGGAGAGAGCTCTTGGTGGAAACCAACGGTACTTATAGGTATTTTGACTGACATTCACACTGTTACCAGAAATCTTTTCCATTCAGCAATTGTGACGTCCATTCGTTCCAAAACCGAGTCACCTCTTTACGAGAAGGCCACTCACTAGAAAGAAATAGGCAAAAACATGCATTGCTACGGGGTGGAGAAAGTGGTCTTGATGACCGAGGGCGCACTTTGTCAAGACTACTTCCTGGCTGTAACGCCCATTAAGCAACTGCAAACGCTAATCCGAGATCAAAGAGATAGTAATCGTGGGTAGCCGAACCACAAACCTCACCAGTACCATGCCAACGAGAGTCCGCATTGCTACCCGCTAAGCTATCCCACGGTGACAGTCACCAATAAATCCTGCGTGCTGTCGACCAAGCATACCCATAATGTTGTATCTCGCGCTGGAAGCAGCCATATTTTAAGGTTTTTCAGTTGTCGTGTCGTTGTTACGATGCAAGTATAATATTAGGTTGGTCCATAAGTCTTGCAGCAAATAAGGACTAGCCAGAAGATGGGCGAGGGCACGCTCTCTCAATTCACGGTGAACCGGCGCTTCACTCTGCTCAGCGTTGACTTTTTTATTTGAAGATGATCCACACTCCAACCACCCCGTGACTGACAATCACGATGCTCTATCTGACGCTGTTGAAAAGGGATCTGGATAGAGTATCGATCATTTGCTAGAGCGATTCCGATGCGACAAGGAGACAGCACTGTGGCATCTCCAAAGACTTGTGAAGATCCGAAAATATAGAGTTTGGTCCCCACATGCCTTGAGCCCGATTCAGCTCCAAACACGATCTGACATCATCATGTTCAAGTCGACTTACTATGGATTCTTCGATTGACCATCCATCACATTTGCCGAAGATGAGGAGTGGGTACAGTGTGCTAACAAATAAACAAGCGGCGATAGTCCAGCTCAAACGCTTCGGGAGTTCTTACTGCTAAAGTTCAACCTCGTCCAAGTAGGGATTTTTGGTGGAACACGAGAGGAGTTGAGCTCTGGAAACCCGCACGTGCAGATGACGCAATCAGTGCGGAAGTCAACTATCCACAGCTCGATTGCAACGCTTTTGATACGAAAGAAAAACAAGGCAAAGT